GGGCAAGCTGAGAGGATGTCTTGTCTTCAGGTGAGCCAGCAGAGAGTGTCAGTGGTGGGGGGATAGATTGGGAGTCTCCCGGGCTACAGGCTGAGCTTTGGACCCTAGAGGCTGATTGTGAGGACTGGTCACCAGATGACACTGAGGAAGAATAAGACAGGAGGGACACTACAGAGGATCTAGGCTTGCTAACAGGACCATCAGATAGTTCCCATACATCAGACTCAGCTGGACATTCCAGAAGGACAGAGCCCATGCGGATACTGCCTTGAACCCAGCCAAAATCTTCTTCTCTTTGGCCTAGTACCAGGGCCAACAATGCTTCATTGAATCAATGGATTCTTTAGTCCCCACAATCCTGTGTTTAGCCGGGATTGGGTACAAAGGAATGGCCTCCCCAGCTTCCAGAGGGAGGTGCAGAAAAGGGTGGTTTCTAGAGTGGGGACTGGATTATCCATACATCCCACAGAACATCATGGACATTATAAGGGAGTCCAGATCACAGTGGGAAGATGACCTGGTCTGGGACTACATGCATGTCCCAAGATCCTTAAGGGGGCCTCATGTCAAGGCCTGGATTAGATTCAAGGACATCAAACAGGAGTGGAGCAGGGGCAGATCTATATACTTGGTGTCATTCTGGACTCCAACCTATCCTTCCAGCCCCAAGTCCAATCTTTAACAAGCTCGTGCAGACTCCACCTCCGCAACATCGCCAAAATCTGCACGTTCCTAACCCCAGAAACCACTAAACAGCTCATCCACTACCTCATCATATCACGACTCGACTACTGCAACTCCCTCCTCACTGGCCTGCCTCGCCGCTGGCTATCCCCGCTTCAGTCAATCCTGAATATGGCTCATTCACCTTTCCAACCGCTCCATCTCCGCCACCCCCCTCTGCCAATCCCTCCACTGGCTTCCGATTGCGCAACAGATCAAATTCAAAATCCTAACACTGACGTACAAAGCCGTCCACCATACTGCCCCGAACTACATCACTGACCTAATATCCAAGTACCACCCAGCACGCACTCTCCTCTCCTCAGAGGGGGGTGGCGGAGATGGAGCGGTTGGAAAGGTGAATGAGCCATATTCAGGATCGACTGAAGTGGGGATAGCCAGCGACGAGGCAGGCCAGTGAGGAGGGAGTTGCACAAAAGTAAAACAGTAAATAAGACAACAACCCCAAAATAAACAGTCATGGCATCCAGGGTTGTAGATCCCCCCAACACGCTGACCACCGAGACTGACACTGAACAGATTCCAGCCGCAAATGACATTTCCCAAGCTGGCAGCAATGGGAAGGAACACTCCATAGTCTTCCACAGTAAAGAAGTTGAATGTCCCTAAGAGAAAATTACACTATAGTAGAGTAGGAGTACATGGCCTTTAAGTGGGCTTTAGACTCCCTACACTATTTTCCCTTTGGCAGAAAGTTTTGTCTGGTGTCTGACCATGCCCCACTGACCTGGATGAGACAGAACGCACACAAGAGAGCCAAGGTAGCCAGATGGCTCTTGGCCTCACAAGAGTTAAAATTCAAGGAGCATGAACCAAAAAAACACCAGAATTCAGATGCCTTAAATGGGTGGCTTAGAAGTCTCTGTCCTGAAGGTGATGGGGAGGAACACTGCATAGTCTTCCACAGTAGAAATTTGAATGTCCCTAAGAGAAATCCCACCATAGTAGAGTAAGAGTACGTGACCACTAAGTGGGCTTTAGACTCCCTACACTATTTTTCCTTTGGCAGGAAGCTTTGTATGGTGTTGGACCCACCGATCTGGATGAGACAGAACACACACAAAAGAGTGCCAAGGTGGCCAGATGGCTCTTGGCCTTACAAGAATTCAAATTCAAGGAACACAAACCTGAAAAACACCAGAATGCAGATGCCTCACTATAGCACACTGTAGGGTGTCCCACCATGCCGCTAATACATTCACATCGAGGCGAAGGTGGGTGAGAGGGCGGGCGGAGATATGTACAGGATGCCAGGAATGGGTTCTGGACAGGAAATTCTGTTTTTTTTTTTTTTAAAACAATTGGTGTTTATTCATAGAAAGCAGAACATGCAAACAACATTGAACTACAAAAAAAGCTTTGCATGTTATCAAATCAAATAGTACACGGGAACAGAAGTTGGTTTTGGGAAAAAAACTCAGTAGTACAATCAAATCAGTGATCTACATGAAACATTTACATATTTATTGAAATGTTTACAAGTTGCAGGTACAGATATCAAATCTGATTTGAGTGCATGAACAGAAGAATGAAAAATCTAGTAGAGAAAGCAAGAAAACAGCAGACTTAAGAACAGGTCCATCTCCGCGAGAAGTGCCAAGAATCCACCAGCATGATCATGCACACACATTGAAAAGAAAAGGAGATGCTAATCGACCATCAGCCCTTTATAAGTGTCTGAGAAAGTGAAAGCATACCAACTGGACCATAATTTATGATATCTGGCAACCATCATAATCAGTGTCCTTTCTAATTCCTGAATGACTTTAACCTCTCTTATCCAGTCTTGAATTGAGGGGGTATGAGCGGTCTTCCAATGCCTGAGGATTAAAGACAGCCTCATTCAAAAGGTGCCAAACCAAGGATCGCTCCTACAATTTCAATGAGCACTCTGAAATATGGAGGAGGCAACATTCAGGGGTTAAGGGTAATGCAGTCTCAGTAATAGAGTAGATCAACTCGCGGACCTTATCCCAAAATGGTATAAGCCGTGGACATTGCCACCAATCATGGAACAGGGAGTCCTCAGCCGATTCACAGCGCCAACATAAGCTTGACGTCTGGGGAAACCACCTTGTAACGGAACCGGACCCCGACTGCACTAGGGTATTTCCGCTTCCCTGTCTGAACATTATCCACGGACACCACTCTTGAACGAAAACCAGGAAATAGACTCCTTTATTTTAACACAAGAGACAAGATGTATACACAGGTTGGGGCAATACACACCCAGTAACAAGAAACACATCAGCAGAGAGTCCCATCAGGGGGAAGGGCTACTGGAAACACCCCCCACCAAGCTAATACACAAACACATAGCTCCCATATTAGTTTGCTCCCAAGCAAGACACACAATAGAACAATGGGATGCAACCACATGGCACTAAACAATGAACAACCCCCACCCCAATATTAGGACATTTCACCCTGCACCCCTAACAGGCACAGGGTGACTTACACATAATAGGGATATGGGGAGCTGAGACAGGGGTCTTCCCCACCTCTCCAAAGTGAGCTGTGACTCCCATCACACACCTCTTTAACCTGTCCAGGAAATTCTTCATGTGTCCCTGTTACTTGACAACAATCAATGATATATTAGAGGGGGCTGAACAGTAAGAAAACTTCTTGGTTAAGCTACAATTTAAGGAGGTTTAATCTAGAAATACAATTTAGTGTTTTATCTGAAAAACAAATCGTCACTAAGATTTGTTAGTGGCTGGACAGTATGAAATCAACTGGGTTCAACTGCTAATTAAAAGGGGCCGATGATGACGGTTTGATCTTGGAATGAGAATCAGACCGTCTGAGAGACAAGAGCCAGAAATATATTAATGACTGCACGCACGCCTCATTGCTGGGCTACAGTTAGAGCATCAGAGAAGAGTCAGGTTTTATCTTGAAATAAAAGTTAGATGGTATTATTTTCAAAACAATAGCCAAGGATATTTTAGAGAGGATGGACAGTATGTAAGCCACATTTTAGGAGGGAGAGTGTAACAGCAGGTAGTATGTGCAGGAGAGGGGTTGCAGAGGATAGGATGGTGGACAGTACGTGCAGGAGAGGGGTTGCAAAGGATAGGATGGTGGACAGTACATGCAGTAGAGGGGTTGCAGAAGATAGAATGGTGGACAGTACGTGCAGGAGAGGGGTTGCAAAGGATAGGATGGTGGACAGTACGTGCAGTAGAGGGGTTGCAAAGGATAGGATGGTGGACAGTACGTGCAGTAGAGGGGTTGCAGAAGATAGAATGGTGGACAGTACGTGCAGGAGAGGGGTTGCAAAGGATAGGATGGTGGACAGTACGTGCAGTAGAGGGGGTTGCAAAGGATAGGATGGTGGACAGTACGTGCAGTAGAGGGGTTGCAAAGGATAGGATGGTGGACAGTACGTGCAGTAGAGGGGTTGCAAAGGATAGGATGGTGGACAGTACGTGCAGTAGAGGGGTTGCAGAGGATAGGATGGTGGATAGTACGTGCAGGTGAGGGGTTGCAAAGGATAGGATGGTGGACAGTACGTGCAGTAGAGGGGTTGCAAAGGATAGGATGGTGGACAGTACGTGCAGTAGAGGGGTTGCAGAGGATAGGATGGTGGATAGTACGTGCAGGTGAGGGGTTGCAGAGGATAGGATGGTGGACAGTACGTGCAGGAGAGGGGTTGCAGAGGATAGGATAGTGGATAGTACGTGCAGGAGAGGGGTTGCAGAGGATAGGATGGTGGATAGTACGTGCAGGAGAGGGGTTGCAGGGGATAGGATGGTGGATAGTACGTGTTTAGAACAGTGGGAAGCATGTGAAGCACAGTAATATGAAGGGTATGTCAAGGGACAAAATATAAAGTAGATAAGTGCTGAGGGTATGAGAGGGGACAGTATGTACACTAAAAGACTGTGGGCAGGATGAAGGAAAATATTTTGGAGGGTAGGAGGTTGGGCACTATGTACAGGGGAGGAGTGTGGAGGTATGACAGTGATGGGTATGTACAGGAGAGGAGTACGGAGGTATGACAGTGATGGGTATGTACAGGAGAGGAGTGCGGAGGTATGACAGTGATGGGTATGTACAGGAGAGGAGTGCGGAGGTATGACAGTGATCGGTATGTACAGGAGAGGAGTGCGGAGGTATGACAGTGATGGGTATGTACAGGAGAGGAGTATGGAGGTATGACAGTGATCGGTATGTACAGGAGAGGAGTGTGGGGGGTATGACAGTGATCGGTATGTACAGGAGGAGTACGGAGGTAAGACAGTGATCGGTATGTACAGGAGAGGAGTGTGGGGGGTATGACAGTGATCGGTATGTACAGGAGAGGAGTACGGAGGTATGACAGTGATTGATATGTACAGGAGAGGAGTACGGAGGTATGACAGTGATCGGTATGTACAGGAGAGGAGTACGGAGGTATGACAGTGATGGGTATGTACAGGAGAGGAGTACAGAGGTATGACAGTGATGGGTATGTACAGGAGAGGAGTACAGAGGTATGACAGTGATCGGTATGTACAGGAGAGGAGTACGGAGGTATGACAGTGATCGATATGTACAGGAGAGGAGTACGGAGGTATGACAGTGATCGGTATGTACAGGAGAGGAGTACGGAGGTATGACAGTGATGGGTATGTACAGGAGAGGAGTACGGAGGTATGACAGTGATGGGTATGTACAGGAGAGGAGTACGGAGGTATGACAGTGATCGGTATGTACAGGAGAGGAGTACGGAGGTATGACAGTGATCGGTATGTACAGGAGAGGATGTGAGTTAGGGACCTTAGACCTTGTACGCTCCTCAGGGGCGGGGACTGATGGGAATGTACAATATAGATATAAACTGACGGCGCTATATAAGTACCTGGAATAAATAATAATAATACACCCAGATCATCGATGACGAGGAGGAAGGTTCGGTCACAGATGATTGGTCCGTCTATAGCAGGGACAGGAGTCGGGACCAGGAATAGGAGATCCACCTGACTTACCCGTGTGCTCTGACATGGAGAAGATCCCAAGCTGGCGGCCATGTGTGTAAAGATGGAGACTGACAATCTGTTCGACCTGTTGGTAGCAGCTCTAAAAATGGCTGAAAACAGGAAACGTGAACAGGAAGTGACATTTCGTACATGCTCAGACCGGGATTTCCTGGATTTGTAATGGGACCGATTGACATGGAGGGTGCAGTATGAAAAACAGACACTAGATGGTGCTGGTCATCACAAATACAAAGCAATATAGGAAAAAACGAAGAAAAAAAAAAAAGGCAAAAATATGACAAAGTAGTAAAAATTAAATAAAATAAAAGGAGATAAATTGACAGTAAAATGACAAAGCGCGTTCCCAACTGGGAATCCATGCTGTCCGTGCCTAACTGCTGGAGAACACAAAAAGCAAAATAAAGGCGGTAGACTAATAAGAAAATAAATAAGAAATAAATAAACTGGATTGGGAGATCATTGTTCTTTTATTTTTAAGAAGCTGGTAATGAAATGTCATTTGCTGGCAGTTTAAACTTTAACATTCCATTGTTGTATTACATGCTAAAGCGAGAATGACAAATAAAAAAAATTTAAAAATGTGCAGTCACTCTTGAAATTAAATAGCAGACCATTTGACTCGGATAAGGATTTTAAGGGGTACATCGCGCAAAAAAAAAAAAAAAAAAAAAAAATTAGGTCCCCACAAGAAAGCCATGCTAGATGCTTGGGGTCTGGGGTTGTGTCAGTGGAGACCGAAGTCCCATCCACGGACATCAGCTCATGCAGTTGTGAGGTGCCGATTGCATCCTCTTCCTGTAGCTCCTGCGGTGCTGATTGTTGTGGGCAGAGGTCAACCACGCCATGTCCTGATGCCAGCTCTTCTGCTGGAGGAGCGACGGCAGGTTCCTCCTCCGCAGAAAAGTCAATCAAATCCCCAGTCTCTGGAACTGGTGTCTGGGGATAGGGGGTCACCATCTTCTGTCCGTGGAACCCAGAAGATGTTACCAGTGTTGGGCAGAGGCTAGCAGAGCTCTGCCCTTTTGTCAGCACTTCAGGTTTGTGGACGGCAATCTCTGGATTTCCACTGCCGATTCTTGGGCATGCTGCTGAACATGTTTTAGCAGTTGCCTGTATGCCCTTTCCAGATGCTGTTCTTTCTTCAGCAGGTATTCCAGATCTGGTTCAAGCTCTGAGACCCCTGTGAGACCGAACATAGCCTTTCTGCCTTCTCGCAACTCTCCTCAGTGTAGGTTCTCCTTCATTGCCAAACACAAAATGATTTGTCAGGCTCTCCCACAGAAATCCAGGACCACCAAAGTCCTATCCCTCCGGAGAGCATTCTGTTGTTACCCCTAAATATTTCTGCTCTGCGTACCATTGCAAAGCCTGATATCGGTTGTCCAGCTCTATCTTCAGCTGGACCAGCCTGTCCAACTCAGTCACCCATTGCTCCTGGGGTCGCTCTCCCAGGAATGGCATCCGTAACTTCCGATGGTCCCTGGCCCATTCCCCTGTGGTTGTATAGCACTTGCCCTTGTACATACCAGCAGCCTGGAGGGCTCCTCTCCAAAGCAGCACCCAAATCCGCTGCCTGAGCTCCAGGTACTGATCCGTAGGCACAGTCCTGGGGTATGTTGCAAGGACGATCTGCAGCAGCCCCGGGAACTCTGATGCCAGGTCCACATCTCCACTGGGGTGACCGACATCTACTTTCCTGATCTTGAATCCCGGTGGTGGTTTGGACATGTTCACAGCTTGGAAGCACAATCCCACCGCTTGCCACCAATGTCACGGAACCGACCCAGACTGCACTAGGGTACTTCCGTTAGAATACCGCTTCCCCGTCCGAACACCGACAACAGACACCACAGCCGACCATACAAGACTAGACGACACCAGTCCTGAAGTAAACCAGGAGGTAGATTAGTTTATTTGAACACAGATACAAGATATATACACTCAGGGACAATCCCCCCCTCCCTGCATAATGACTTAGGGCGGGGCAATCTACATTTAGTAACAAGAGACACACAGGTATTCAAACTTCACACCAGCAGACAGTCCCATCAGGAGGGAGGGCTGCTGGAGACACCCCCCACTAAGCCAATACACAAACACATACATCCCATAATAGTTTGCTCCCAAGCAAGACACACAATAGAACAATGGGATGCAACCACATGACATTAAACAATCCAAAACCCCCCCACCCCAATATTAGGACAGGTCACCCTGTACCCCTAACAGGTACAGGGTGACTTACACATAAGAGGGATATGGGGAGTTGAGACAGGGGTCTCCCCATCTCTCCAAATTGAGCTGGGTTCCATGGGCCCCCCCACCCAAAGTGACTCCCATCACATACATACACACATTTTTTTTTCCTTAAAAGGAAAATCGTTATCATGCTTACTGTAATTTTTCTTTCCTGGATCCTCCTCATGTCAGTCTTCTACGGGTCAGCTCCGCCCTCCTGACCTCTCCAGGACAACCCATAACTAGCCCATATATCTAAGCTAATCCCCCCTCAGGTGTGCCATCACAATCCTCGCGATGGAAATGAAGGAAGGATGGGAGACTCAGGCTGACGTGAGGAGGATCCAGGAAAGGAAAATTACGGTATGATAACGATTTTCCGTATTCCTGAATCTCGTCACGTCAGCCAACTACAGGATGTAACTAGCAATGACAAGGCCCAGATGGGAGGAGAAAAAAAAAAAAAAAAAAAAAAAAGACTGGGATCAGAAAAGTACTGCTAAACACACAGACATTTAATGGTTCACAACTGAATAACTACAGCTGCAAAGCCATCAGAATCCCTCAGATATACATCCATCCTGTAATAGCTCATGAAAAGTATTTACAGCACTCCAACTAGCCGCCTTGCAAACCACCTCTGCCGAAACCTTCGAAAAAGAAGCCCATGAGGCCACCATGCCCCTGGTTGAATGAGCCATTACTTCTTCTGGAGGAAGATTCAAGAATTTGTTAGCCGATTGTATAGTCCTAAAGATGTAGGCCAAGAGAACCCTAGGAGGCATAGCCTGCCCTCTTCTTGGGCCTGAAGGATAGACAAAGAAAATATCCACTTTTCTGACATGTTTGGTGCACTCTAGGTAGACTGTAAGAGATTAAACTAGATCTAGCTTTTTCCCATTCTTCTTCTGTTTCCTCAGGAATAAAGGATGTAAATAGACTCCCAATTCAAGTGGAAAGACGTAGACACTTTGGGAAGCACCCTCTCTGTAAAAACCAAGCAGTACGGTTCCTTCACAGAGAAGGGACACAACTCCGAGACTCTTCTTGCTGAGGAAACAGCTACAGTTCTAGGAAAAAAATTGCTCTTAAAGTAGGATAATACATTGAACAGGACGATGGAGGGTCAAAAGGAGATCGCAATAAAGCTTTGAAGACCAGGGTCAAATCCCACTTTGGGAAGTAGGTCTTCACTGGACGATGGATTCTCATTGCAGCCTTCAAAAAGCGAATCACCAAAAGGATGTGATGCCCATCTTTTTTGGGTCAGAGCTGCTAAGGCGATACTTGGACTCTCAAGGAATTATATGCAACCACAGAACATTAAACAATCCACAACCCCTTCTCTGTGAAGTCACGAAATGCTCCCCACACATGCTGGTATGTGGAATTTGTAGACTCTCTCCTCAAGCGTAACAAGGTGTTGATGTCTGAAATACACATTTCTTTCAACCGTCCCCTTTTAATCTCCAAGCCATTAGATTCAATCTCCTGATGTATGGGTGTCATTTCTCGTTCCGCATCAACAAATCTGACCGATGTGGTAGGGGAATTGGATCTTCTAGCCTCATTCTCCATACTAAAAGGGAACCAGGGCCTTCTAGCACACTAAAGGGCCTTCTTGGCCAAAATTGAAGCATTTCTATTTCCTGGATCCTCTCCCGCTGTATCTTCAGTAACACCCAAAGAATTAGAGGGATGGGAGGGAATACGTATACTAGGCGAAAGCTCCAGGGGTTTGAAAGGGCATCCTGGCTCAGAGCTTGCGGATCTCGAAAACTCGAGAAGCATTGATGAAGCCTGTTGTTCACAGCTGAGGCTATCAAATCTATCACCGTGTCCCCCAATGGCTTAAGATTGGCTGGAGATAACTCAGCTAAGTAAAACACTCATTGTGGTTGAAGAATTTCCAACTTAGAGAATCTGCTATGGCATTCTGGGACCTGGGAAGATATGCCGCTGTTATGGATGTCAGATGATGTTCTGCCCATAGAAAAATTTGAGCCGTGGTCCTCAGTAGGTTCAATCTTCGTGCCCCCTTGACGGGCCACTAGGCTACCGCTGTTTTGTTGTCTGACAAAATTTTCACTGCTCTACCTTGAAGCAGCAGACGGAAAGTTTGAAGAGCCACCACAAATGCCATAAGCTCCATCTAATTGGAGGCTGCCGGAGGGCTCTGGTTCCACTGACCTTGAGCTTGTTGACCCAAGCAATGGGCTCCCCAACCTAAATGACTGGCATCTGTTGTCACAATCACCGCAGCAGGTTGTTGAAGCAGCACACCTCGTGCTACATTCTTCATTCTCAACCACCACCTCAGGGACTGAGCAGTTGAAGCGGGGATGAGAATCCCTTATATTAGGGAATGGCTGTCCCACTGCTGCAGAAACAATCTTTGATGCCACCTGGCCCACAGGACTACTGGAATTGTTGAGGACAACTGACCCAGGTACTGCATACATTCCCTCGCTGATAAAATTCTCTGC